ATTAGGAATGACAGTGAAGCTTGTGGACATCCAGTTTTTTTTAACCTTCAAATCTCCTCTGACTTGTCCTGTTCTTGGGACTCCTACGTAAAGGAGAAGGCTCAACAGAGAAATCTCATTCCCAGCCTCTCCTCTGTTATGTACAATTACAATAAGATTCTAGTACTTGACAAAGGTTGTTTATGACAATGTTACTTCATGCAGATTTCAATATTAAGTTGGCTTAAAACCTTGCCTGTTCCTTATTTCATTGTTCTCAAATATCACATTTTAAACTTTGGGTTTGTGCTTTGCCCAAAAAAATACTTTTCTGTTTAGGTACATTAGCAAAAACACTCTGAAAGCTAAATTAATTTAAGTTGGTATTGTGGGTTCCAAATCAAGCCCAAATTTATGATCATACAGTGTAAAACCTAAGTGAAATTTACCATACTTGATACATAAATTGACTTTTTTTCAGACAGTTAAAACAAATCATACAGGTGGATTGGACAAGTCTTTTAATTAAATTCAGCTCATACTGTGGTCCAAAAATTCAAATAAAATCTGATATTTTCAAGGTTTTTATGTTTGGCTCATCATATCATGGATCTAATTAGTAGTTTGAAAATATTTAAATGCAGACAAGTATAATGGGCCTCCCCCTCCAGTTACTTAAATATAAAGACAAAATCCCATTTGTTCCAAGCTCCTATCTATGCAGCTTAAGGCCACTTATCTACTTCTAACTTACACGATGGGTCATTAAAGTGGACCTTGAGAAAAGCACTGAATCATGTCACATGTTCCATCTACTGGCATGATCAATTCATGCCAGAAGGGCTCAAGTCTATGGTTCACCATATATCGTTTTATTCAACAATTGGAGTGACTGAACCATGAAACCTTTTGTGTGACAATAAAATGAGATCTATGAAAGGGAGAGTAAAACTAGAGAAGGCGCTGTGAGCAGAATGAAAAAAAGATGAATGCAACCTCTGTTGTGAATCTAAGTATCTCAAAGGTCTCTCAAATTAAACACTTGCTCCAGTTTTCACAAATAACGTCTTCCTGAACTTTGTACAAAAATCATTCATGTAACAGGACCAGAAGTGGGGTCATCTCTCTGCTAGGATTAAAAATGAGAGTTGCCCTACAAAAATACTCTTTTTGAGCAGAATATTTGCACAGATCTTTCAACCTGGTCTTATAATAATCTGCAGCATGGTTTTCCCAGCAACTTTTTTGAGCCATTGATTCCCAACTGCTTTACAGAAAGAATAATTTACACTTCTATCACCTCTAAGTCTGGGACGGTCGTATTTATTTTACCTTGTGAGGTGCTGGGCTGGCACTGATCCTAGGCGAGTATTTACTGAGTTTGGTCTGGCAACTAGATTCTCTCAAACATGAATCGCTCCAGCAGGACCAGTACCAAAAAAAAAAAAAAAAGGTCTAACTAAGAGCTGTTGAAAAGGAGAACTGTGTCAGAAGAAGACCAAGAAAGTTAGGTTGCTAGGGCATACAGTAGTTCAACGGAGGTGCTTGGAGGTCTATTCAGAATACAGGCTGATCTGTGACAGACTCCATACTTTAGGTAATTGTTCCAAAAACTGCACAACCATTACCAAAAAGCTGGCTGACTGAGAGGTTGCGCTCCCTATCATAGTTCCTTTGTTGACCTTGTGAAAGCTTTTTTTCTGATCTATGTTTAATTTGTCATTAAGAAAAAAAAAAAAAAAAAAAAAACTGGTGTCGGGAATTGGGCAATAACCTACAAATACTGTAAAACAAGCAGGGAATGATGCAAAAGGTTTAGCATTTTAATAACTTCCATGTCTGCAATTTAGGTCATGAAATATATTCCGTAACTTTATTTATAACAAAATGTTTACTCTAAAAAACACCAGGTCTTGATCTGGTTATGCCCTGAGCTTGTTATAGCTGGATGATCTAGCATTGCTCAAATTCAGACACCTTCTTGGTCCTGAAAAATCTGACTGTTATGTAAATCTTGCTTCATTGTGCACAATAAAAATGTAAGATCAACTAATTATATTTGTTATTTTTACTCTTTATCCATTTAACTTGACATATTGTCAGGGTTTTACTAAGTAGTTTGGTTTTCTCCAGACCACATCAGTACATACATCTTACATGATAGTCGGAGTATTTTTATTTTGAATTTTTCTACTCTTAGCACTAGATATAGACGTATGACCTGTCCTTTAAGGAGGTTGTCCGGTTATTTCAGTTAATTGTGGGCAGGATTGTAAAGCCCTCTCTTTACTAGTCCACTGGCAGAAAGAAATGGTACTTTTAAAACTAAACGAGAGTGCTTAACAGAGTAATAAAATGCTGCAGTCAAGACAAGCTCAGACAGGCAGACATATTGCTGACTATGTGTCAGAAAAATACAAACTAAGAGGACAATCAGTCTGAGGGCACATACAAAATGTGTAAGTGAAGCTTAAAATGAAGATGTTGCAAGAAATTGAATTGTTTATATTTTTTCCTTTAAAATTACTATTATGGTGTTATTTTAATAAACATAATAATAATTTAACAAAAAAGTACTGCTTCAATCAGTATTTTTTTGCCCCTGATCAATAAGTCAGATCTGTTAGTGTGTGCTGCACCCTGTTTACGATTTTCATTTCTTATGTTTATGCAAGAAAAAATGGATATTGTTTCATTAGTAGATGGATATATTACAATAGGCAAGGATTAGCACCTTGGTTATGTCCAATTAGTGATAACACTGCTAAAATTATCTGTATTTAGAGTTAAAAGAAGACAGCTGTCACATAGACAATTACAAACTAAGAGTTTACACTGTAGGCTTGCCCCTCATCTTAAAGTTTCATTGTAGTCTGTTCAGAAACCCTTTCTCAACAAGAGAAAGTAGTGATATGATTAACTGAAATAGAAAATTGAAAACTGGTGTATCTGAAATAGTAAAACTATTTATTAAAAAAAAAATTCACACAACTAAATTCAGATTAGGGAAATTTTAACAAAGAAACACTAGAAGGTCAAAACACTGAAATAGATAAACGCAACAAATGCATTTAAGATTGTTTGCACTTCTTATTTTTTCACCATTTGATTCTTTTTGCATCACTTTGTTTGGTCCTCAAAGCATTTTTTTTGGTCTTTTTTTTAAGGATATGGACATGAAAAAAAGCATCCTTTTCATCTTTCCTAGAATGATTAAAAACAAATCTTTTGTTTGGATTAACCCAGTTTAAGGAGTTTCAAAATCTTCTTAAAAAAAAGCAATTTAGAACAAATCCAGCATCTTTCTCTGCAGTCCTATGCCTTTTTATCTTATTCATTTATTTATTTTTATTTATTAATTTATGTTTGTTTTTTTTTTGCAGAGAATGTTTGTCTATTTATTTGTTTATTAAACACAGCTCAGATTTTAATTAAAAAAGGCTTTTAGGATTAAGTTATAGAGATCATATAGTCCTTTGGATGTATTCTCCCTAATGAAGATTTTAATGCACTTTAAGGTCAGGCACTTACAGTAATTAGACTCATCATTCACACAACAAAAGCATTGCTTAATCTGATACACAGCCTCTTCTTAGGGCAAGCATTTTAACCCATGAGTTGTTAAGGAATTATATTTTCCAATGCCTTTAAATAACTTAACTAAGTCTCAGTCACTGCTGGCGTGTCAATATAGTGGCAAATGTAGTAATCTTTTAGGATCTCATTGTCGTGCAGCAGTTGTCTTATTTTTATGGTAAAAGATCCAAAATAGTTGAAAAGAAGACCCTCACTTTTGTAGGTGTAAGAAGTAAACAGTAAAATGTTGTCTTAATTAATAAACATTAGATTTTTTTACAGGACTGTGACTGTTCTTTAGACAACTCATGCAATTTTCACAAGAAAAAACTGTTTTATATATCATATATGTTTGTGTCAGATATGGCTGTTTGGAAGAAATGACAGTTTTGCATCCTGAGAAATGAATTCCTGTGTTATTTTGGATTTTTATAAAATGACTTTTGCATAAAGCATCCATTTCCCCCCATATATAACATGTTAATTATTAACACTTATAATTCATGAATATTTTTTAAATACATTTTTTTTTATTCTATATATATATTGCTTTTTATTTAGTTTTATTTATTCATGTTTCTTTAGAACCCTTCATTGTTTTCTAAATCAGAGTTGCATGCACTAACCTCTTTTTTTAACACTCACATTAATAAACTAATTTCTTATTTTAAGATCTAAAATCCCAATGAAGAGTTGAAGGGTGTGAAATTTTTAAAATAGTAAACACATTTGTAATTCTCTGTATCCTATTGGCATCAGCTTCTGTCACAACGAAATGTTTTTTAGTATCTTTTTTTTGTCTTTATATTATATAATTTGCTCTCTCTTAACTCTCACACTGGAATGTGCCTGTAATGTCTAGTTTACAAAAAGTGTCACCTACTGTACACATCTTGATTATTACAGTACATAATATGAACCACATAAAGGGAATCTTAAAACACTATTTGAATGCTTCTTATATAAAATCTTATACATTATTTCTATGCAGTATGCAAAGAAACAGCAGGTAAGGGAGCACTTTTGCCCTTTCGGTTATTTGATTCTGTGCTAAAATGCTAATAGGCTATTTTATAGTTGTGATAGAATGGGCACAAATGATAGAGGACAGTAATGAGATTTTTTTTTTTCATGAAAACACATCCTATTATGGTTATACAGTCGAATGATGCCCTTATTACAACAAAGGCATCAGCAATTTTACATAGTGATATGACACTCAATAAACACCATAATGCAAAGCATTTTGATGGAAATGTGAGAGACTGAGCTTATCTTGTAAAACTTCTATCAGCTTAAATGAATAAATCATAACAATTAGGAATGTTTTCTTTTCTTTTCTCATTTAAAATACACTGAAATCTATGTTTTTGTGTGTAAGCATAAGAAAGAATGTAAGCCGTAGTTTTTTAATTGTTTGTTGTTGTTTTTTTTTATCCTAACAGGGAATTTGCACGTTGGAAGGTGAGAAACACTGCAATTGAGAGAAGGGACCTCATCCGGAACCCCGTGCCACTCATGCCTGAGTTCCAGCGCAGTGTACGCTTGCTGGGCCGAAGACCCACCACTCAGCAGTTTATTGACACTATCATAAAGAAATATGGAACCCACATTCTCATCTCAGCCACCTTGGGAGGTCAGAAAGTTTCACTTGTTTCAATTATTATCTATCATCTATTATCAATATTCTCATTTGTATCTAAATACGTTTTCCATAGGGTTGTGGTTTGTGTACATGCTTTTTTTATAGAGAGAATAAACAAGAATTATTTTTAGGCTGACAGGAAAAATGAGAAATTAGACAATTGGGGTCAATTTTTCTGGTCTAGGTATTCTGTGAGTTTATTCTGTAAGTTTTTTTTTTTTCTTTGGAAAATAATACATTTATCAATGTGCATTTTTACAGATAAATGAAATGAAAGCAATGCCTCATACCGGTTTGATTAGACACAGTGAATGCAGCAGTGCTGTGCTGGGTTATTTGTTCTACTTGCAACATTGTCAAAGTCACCTAATGGGTTTGAATTTAGTTTCTTGTCCATGTAGCAGAGAAAACAAACTCCAGCAAATCACAAGAGAGCATGGAAAAAGAGCAGATATGTTCTCATAGAGCATGGCTCAGTCATTGATAATAGGCAGAATGTTGTTTATGTGCAAGACTTAATGTAACAGAAAATAAAATTATTTTATCATGACCATAATATTAAAATATGGACAAAAAAGAAAATGTTATTTTTTTTTTATTTAAATAATTATACTAACTTAAATCTTAAAATACATGGTATCAAGGTCTTTTGAAAGCCTATTAAAAAAAAAAAGTTCTACAGTAATTTAAATAAAACCGTAGGTGATTTTTTATGCTTGACTTTAAATTTGAATAACTTTACAACCTGCAAAAAGTTACATAAATTACACAATTAAAAAAAGAAATATAGAGGTCATACTTTGTTTAAAATCAAATTTAGATGAACAACAAGACTATACATATATCTCAAAAGCAAAAAAAAATAAAAAATGGTGATTAAATATACCAAAGTTACAAAATTAATTATTGAAATAGATAAAAGTATGTGTAAATGTGTTGCAGCCACCTTTCCTCTTTCATTTTTTCTTAAATTACACATACGGTATATATATTTCCTTTGGACCGCATGGTGAATTATAACTTTTAATAGTCTAACATCCCCCCACAGTACAAAGCCCAAACACCAAGAGCTGAAGCTGTATTTTTGCCCCAGTTCTGGCTGCAGCCTGTAAATGTCTTTTTTTTTATTTTAGATTTTGTTTGTTAAGCCACTTAAAGCTGACCTATGAATCATTCGAGTACACAAAAGACGGGAGCACAAAAGATGACCTAGTGTTGCAGCCCATTTTATTCTAACACAGCTGCAATATAACATTTTCAAGGCAATAAATAAAAACTTGTGGATAGCACTTGTTTTTTTTATATTTTTTTCTATTCAACCTAGTAATTGGAATACAAAGAAACACAAAATTCAAGGATTTACAATTGATTGTACTTATAATTTAATTTAAATTTTTTTTTTTTTTTTTTTATGCCAATAAAGTGGTCTCAAAGTGGCTCCAGTTAAATTTGGTTATATTTGAAAACAGTTCCTTACAAGCCAATGCATTTATAAACTAACATTCATACTCAAGACACTAAAAAAGCGCTTTTTACAAAATTTAATGTACAATATAAAAGTAACTAAAACACATTCGAAAAAATATCTAATCAAAAGAAATACAGTTTTTATGAAATAAAATTTAAACCGTCACAATTAACACAGTAGCATTCAATTATATTTTCAATGCTATTTCATCCCTACTGACTTCCAGCGGCAGTACTCATGCATTAACTGATCATCCTTGTGGATGCAAAGGTTGATAAGTAATAGCAACAAAGTCACAGTTAACCTACAGAAAATTAGCATGCCTATACTATCACATGACACTGAAAGCTCAGTCGCTTTTTATCTTCTTGTGCACAGATTTGCTGAGTATATGCTCTTGCTATACTACTGCTTGCTGCTTGTACCCTAGAGAATGTTCTTTGGTCAAAGCTAAAGCTGTGTCTTGCCCTCCAAGGGCTGTACAAGCTGCCTTTTTTCAGACTACTGTTGTTCTGCAGCAACTGGTAGGTTTTTTTTTCATGTTTAATTGTCTCATTGTCTCGCAGGTGACATTTTCTGCCTTTGCCGAGTCCTATGCAAGTTCATAATGTCCAACAGTGTTTTCATTGTTGCCTTTATGTTGCCTCATTTGATTGATTGACTAATCTCTGGTGTTTTTGCTTGTGTTGAATCCTCTACATTTTTGGCTTGTATTGGCTGGCAAGTTTTCTCACCCTATGTCTATGTTGTCTCGCTTGATTATTTAGTAGACTTGCCTGTAGCTCTGATGCTGCCTTTGTGGTTCCTCCATCAGAGAAGTACATATGTAAACTGCACATCTGTTGGACAGATGCCTGGGCATTTTCTCAACTGAGAACTGATTGTGGTTCCCTTGCTGTTATACAAGAGGCTTCTTGGTTTAGTTTGGGAGAAAAAATGCCTGCCGTGGAGCCTGACATGCCTATCTCATTGTTCCTCCTGTTCTGTGGACTAATACCAGTTGTCACAAAATGCTGTGGAACAGATGACCTGCTCTGACGGCCCTACAACTCAGGTGCCATGGTCTGCTGGATTGGGAACTCACTCTTGCATACGATGCTGGGCCTTTCCTCCTCTTTGGAGTCTGCCCCACTGAGCAGACCTTTTGTCTGGCTGTCTTCAAGTTTGACTGCTTAAGTTTTCCCTGAGTAAACCCCAGTTCCTGGTGAACTCTGGCTTTGCTATGCTCAATGACCTGGACAGTATGGCTCAGGCTTCCTAAAGCAATAACAATTAGCCAGACTTTATAGCCGGTTTAGCTATGATTTTCCACTGATTTACTCCCTTCCATCTGCTTCTCTCCCTATGTCTTGGAATCTGGCTTCAGGACCGTTTCTATGATAGGGTATGAACAAAGTTGACCAAGTGGGGGCCTGCGTCTCCTTTTCCATTTGGTCTACACCAGCGGTCTCAAACTGATTCCAAAAAGGGCCTTGTGGCTGCAGGTTTCCTTTCCAACCAAGCAATAGCACACCAGGCTCCAGTTATCTCATCAAGTCATTATGTTCAGATTGCACTCAGTTGATGAGATGACTGGAGTCTGGTGTGCGACTACTTGGTTGAAAAAAAACCTGCAGCCACATGGCCCTTTCTGGAACCAGTTTCAGACCCCTGGTCTACACAATTTTTTTAATGTCCCCTCAGGTCTTTGAGAGGCAGATGATGGATTAGATTGGGTGTTACCTACATCCCAGATGTATGGGTGCTTTCCACATTGTCTCATAGGTACCATCTATAGACCTGGTACCAGCCCTCTGTCTCTAAAAGGGTCAGGATGACAGTCCTCCACCATCCTCTTAAAGTATTGACACTGCAGCATGGATCTCATCCCTTACTGGCCAGAATTTTAAGCATGCACTTGAAGCTCCTCCTCATTCTGTAACTATACATTCGGGGCATGGTTGCCACTCTGTCCAATGTGGTGCCCTAAAGACTGCTCTTGTTGCTGCCCCTTTGAATATTGCTGAAAGGCTTTCAACCAGTGAGGTCACTATTAATGTTAATCACAAAAGAGGTATATGGTCAAACATGTTAACCTTGACCCAATGTCTCAGCCTCAGGGCCTACATACTAGGGATGCAGAACATGCCTGCAAACTTCTGCCTCACCTGAAGCCACCCTTCTGGGGACTAAATGCTTTATCTTGATGTGATGAGTTGCATGGCGGGGGAAAACCACTTTGCGTCCATCCTTTGGGCTGCAAATGGTGCAAGATTAGTAGTAGACACTTTTCTCCACCCTTAGCCCTAACTTTTCCAACTTAATGGTTTTCCTGGAGGTGCACAAGCTCGTATCAGTGGCCCCATTCTGGCCAGTAAAGACTTTAATTCCTCTGTTGCACAGGCCTTTCTCTGGCTTGCCGATGCACTTCCCCTCCAGCAGGTATCTCCTCTCATATCCAACCCAGGACACCATGGGTTTGGCCCTTACAAGGCCTAGCTATACTTTCTCCCTATATAGATGCAAGGTGCACTGCACAATGGCTGGTGCATGGGCACCTTCCACTAGGACTTTTTATACGTATGATTGGGCAGTCTTTGACAACCAGTGCCATGGTGAGGAATTGGACCCCTTATGGCAGGGGTGTTAAACTGGTTCCAGAAAGGATCGTGTGGCTGCAGGTTTTCTTTCCAACCAAGCAATAGCACACCAGACTCCACCCATCTCATCAAGTCATCATGTTAAGACTGGACTCACTTGATGAGATGACTGGAGTCTCACAACCACACGGCCCTTTCTGGAACCAGTTTGACACCCCTGCCTTATGGTATGTTGCCTAGTTTGACTCTCTTTCTTTCTAGTCTCATTTTTTCCCTCTTTTCTCCCCACCCCAGGGAGCCCAATGCCCAGCTTTCACAGTCTACATCCTTGGGCTAAACCATCTTCCTGTCTGCTGCAAAATGTCCAAAATATAGTCAAAAATGGGGTAGTTGTGTATTGTTATTTTGATAAGTTTTAACAGCAAGAGTGCATGTGTTTTGACTGTCAAAACAGCCGTTTCTGGGTCATTAGTGTGTTTAATCCAATTTTACAATTTTTATGTCCAATGTAAGGAAAATGACGTTAGCCATGTATTCTTGATAATATGATATTACAACCTTAAAGAAAGTACTTGATGCCTAGTAAAAGAAAATCATCAATATAGAATAATTTTATCTTCCAGTCAAACCATAATGATTAAAGATCAGACTATTCTGACCTGTAAAGACAAAGGTATATTTTGTTATTTCTGAATGTGCTGAATTTCTGATTTTCAATAAAACAATGTTATTAAACTATAGCTCAATAAAAGCTTAGGTTCTACATCCCGATCAAAAAAACAACAAACTATTTGGCTAAAATCAGCCGTTTTTCTATGTCTTTTTCAGGTGTGGGTTGCCAAAAGAGTATATTTTGTAAAATTGTGAAAGGCTACAAATTGTTAAAGCTGCAGTGTGTAATAATTACAGGGATATACAGTCAGAAATGTAATATATTATACATA